TCAGGTATACCTGACCGGAGTCCCGTCCGGCCTCCTCCATTTGGGGGCCTTCCCGGTGGTATTTTTTGCTCAAATTTTTTGTGTAGGTTCCTCATCAAGTCTAGTTTGTCCATACCAAATTTCAGCCAAAAATTCAATCGGGAAGGTCGTCAAATGATTTTTGCAAGTTAACTGGTCCGGAAAATACATATTCCGGACCAGTTAACTTGCAAAAATCATTTGACGACCTTCCCGATTGAATTTTTGGCTGAAATTTGGTATGGACAAACTAGACTTGATGAGGAACCTACACAAAAAATTTGAGCAAAAAATACCATCGGGAAGGCCCCCAAATGGAGGAGGCCGGACGGGGGCAGTGGTCCGGCCTGGCCGGACCTGAATTATTCTCTATATATATATATATATATATATATATATATATATATATGTATGTATGTATGTATACCAAGGAAATAGTAACCAAGTTCTTACTATACGTATTGCATCAACCAAATGAACCTGGAAAAAATTTGCAAGCTTTTTTAGTAGCTTTATGTAATGCTTCAATAATTGCAAGTAATACTTTTTGAATTGAATCTATTGTGTGACGTGTTACTTGTAATCTTTTAGGCCTGGTTTTTATAGGCCAAAGTTTTATCTAGTTACTCTTATTTATTGAATACAAACTAATTAGTACTTGGAACTATTTAGAATAAATCGAAAAAAACTTTAATATTCATATTAGAATTATCTTGATAAGTAACTGAGCGAGAACATACATGACTCCATTGGAGATAAACTTTTTATATTCGGGACGACGCAATGAGAGTTTTCATCTTCTAGTTGATACACGCATCAGAAATTCTCTCAAACGATGGGATGTAGAAAGATGTAAGGTATATTCAACTAGGGACCATAGTCCATGTATTTATAGATAGTGCTAACCCTCACAAGCCCATCATCAATTAAGAAAGTAGCTCATGGGTCTCTACAAATATGAGTCATTTACATTATAAGACAACATATTAGAACACTAATTAATAACCATAGGACCACTAACTTTTGGATCTAAACATAAGATAACATATAAAATACGATTAAACGCAATAAATAATATATTTTGAATATTACATATAACATAAGTTCATTAATCTAATATTCTTCCACTTGGACGACATACATTGGTTCACCATAAGATCAATCATGCAACTGCAAGAGTACGTAAGACTTCAAACTTTCTTTTCGTAGAAAAACAATCTTAAAAATTTAATTAACCAAATATAGAAACATTACAAACTCTCATTAAAACTCACCATCCTTATCGGATCAAATTTGACACTCATTTGAGCAACATGGTTGTGGAACACTCTGGTGACAATTCTTTAATGAGCAGGTCCAGAATCATGGAGTTTGTTAGGAATTATTTTATTGTATTCAATTGCATTAGTTATCCTTGTATTTATGTATTTAAATTAGTTATTGGGCCTTGTATGAATTTAGCCCATTATGTATTTATTATGTATTTCTTTTATTAATAATATGAAAGTGGAGTGTCATTTTCTTAAGTTGGCAGAGACAATCTCATATATTGTTTGTGATATCAAATGCATATGTGTATGTATTCTAGACTGATTGAGTTGTTGGTGTAACTTTGGCTAAGCTTGGATTAATTGTATCCATACATTTTAGAGAGAAGGGAGAGCTGTTATTCACGACAGATATGAGCACTCAAATTTGTAAGCTTTCTTTATCTGTATCATATTCAGGGTCTGTTTGCAACAGCTTCAGATTTTAAAAAAGTGTTTTTTTAATGAAATGGGAAGAAGTGCTTGAATAAAAGTTAATAGTGTTTGGGAAAAAAGTGATTTTGAAAAGTAAAAGTGGGTAGTGTTTGGTAAAATAAGTGTTTTTTGTGTAATAGAAAAAGTAAAAGCACTTTTGACGCGGAAGCCGAGAAAAATAAAAGTTGTAGTGTTTGAAAAAATAAGTGTTTTTTTAAAGTCAAAAGCCGAGAAGTGCTTTTTCAAAAGAAGTTGCAAACCAACCCTCAATACATATTAATACTCTCATCTACGTTCTTGTAGCTTTTATATTTTGTGATTGTTGGATACAAAGGGACTTTTAGAATTTGTGTTAATGTATTCTATAGAAACCTTTCTTTTTTTACTCGTTCTTTAATTGTTTTTAAATTTGACACCAATGTGTTTCATCTTGGTCAAACTCCTCCGATTCTTAGCATGAAGGATTGTTCACCTATTGTCAGACAATAGCTTAAATGGTCTCTCAATGTTATCCACTATATACACTCCACTAATAAAATCTCGCAACCATAATCTCCGATTGAATACCTCAAAACATGTTATAAACTCTGCTTCCACGTGCCTCTTTTCATGACATTTTTCAGTGTCACAGAAACTTCCAGTGATATTATTTTGGTGTCTTTGTAAGCCATTTTACTACTTGTACAAGTCTATTACCGATGTTCAAAATGAAGTGGTCAGTCTTTGTACACTTTCTTGTTCATCGTTTTGACATGGTTTTCTGATATTAAATTCAGCAGTTGTTCATTCATCCATTGCACGTTTACAATGTCTAATTTTTTTTCTCAAATGTCATTTTTCTAAATTACTAGAGCTCTATCTCTCTCTCTCTGACCCAAGAACTTTAAATAAAAGCAGCGATGAAGAATTGAAGCGTAATAAAAAAATATACTTCTATGTTGGCGATCTAAAATGAGGTACAAGTAAAATTCATTTGCAAATTTAACATCAGCCATCAAGACCTTTCTGTTTCTCATTTAGCAATACATCTTTTCTTTCAATGTCATTATTCACATTCGAGAAGCAAATAACTTTTAATTCCTTTTTATTGTCTAGCAGTCCTCTTATATACTTCGTATAATCTTATAATGATGTGATACATTTAGCAAGTCAACTATTATTTATTTTGTGCAATGTTGGTAGTAGAATATTAAGCTTCTTTGATGTGTCAAACTAAACTAGTTAATATAGTATTCTGCTTTTACATTTCATTTCTATATGTGATCAGTCACTCATATGTTTTACAATGTGTCGTATAGAATAGATATATAATCTGTGCCTTTTGTGTCATTAATAAAGTTCAATCAATTGTGAGTTAAAAGATGATAATGAGCACTATATCAAAACCACAACTAATCCAACACTGTATCAAATGACATGGTAATGCATTTCTTATAATAATTTCGATTTAGTAATTACATTTAAAGCATTTGAAGCTACATGAAATTGCATTTCTGGTTTCTAGTGTAGTCGTTATTTCAGAAAACTAAACGAAAGTAATTGAAGAGATTACCTTGTCAGAACCTTTTTTTTTTTTTTGTCTTTTGGTCCTTTTTGCTTCTCGTTCGTTGTTTCTTTCTTCTTCTTTGTCTCGAAATCACCCTTTGAAACTTCGTTATCCTTCATTAGGTTTTCTTAGCTTTTCTTGTTTGATCTCTTCTTTCGCTCAATCATGATTTGTCTCCTATTCTTTGTTTCCATCTACTCCACTACGACTACGCTTAATAGTCCGTCTTCCCTCTCGTCTTGAGACTTTGTTCTTCATTCTCGGTAAAGCATTCATCGCCAAAGAACGAGACTTTTTTGTAAATTTTTTATTGGAAAAAATAAGAGAATATTGGACCGGAGGAGATAGTTTTTTCGTAAATTGCATAAACGGAGCACGTGAACGGCGCCGTTGTCCTTTATCTTTTAATTGAGGGCATTATTGTCAACTAATTTAGATTAGATCATACGAGTTGTGGCGGTCCTATTTTAATGCTAGGATTCGATGTTATTTTCAGAAGTTTTCCTAATCAATATTATGAGACAAGCCTCTCATTTTAGAACGAAAATTGTTTTAATCGGTAACCCCAATCCTCTCTCTTTCTCTCCCCCACTCTCTCTCTCCCTCCCCCCTCTCTCTAGAGAGAGAGAGAGCTGCGAATGTGTCCCTCTAGCTACGTAGGGTTTTGTTTTCCTACAGCTCTTCGCCGATTGTGTGGGTGTTTTTCTTCTTCTTGTGCTTTGACGATTATCAGCGTAGGGAAGAGTGAGATATACAAGCAAGAAGGAGTTGAGTCTTCATGATTTCCAAGAGACAGCGTGCGTCGAAGCTTTCTGTGTTAGTTCAATGGAGGAGTTGGTGGATCAAGGCCACAATCCGGAGATTGTCAGCATGTTAGGAGGCGGCACGAGCGACGAGCAGACAAGGAGCGGTAAAGGGCTGAACAAGGGAGAAGACAGATGGATGGTCCGCCCCCTCCTGAACCGCCTTGGAGCGATTGAGATGTCAAGGCTTGGTAGATAATGTTTCAAGAAAACTGGTAGGAATGAGTTTGGTTCTATCAGTTATTTTATTCCTTATGATTTTAGTTTCGCATTATGTTTGTTTACGCTTCTTTGTTTTTTGTTGGTGTTTTTTATTTTAAGTCTACAATAATGATTGACAATTTTATCAGATATCATGTCGTTAGAAGAATCAATTTGACCAGTGATTGTTGTGTCATGCCCGTTTAGTGGTTAGTGATTCATATTACTTTTTCAGGAATGATCATTTCTGAGTCTAATCATATGGTTGATAATGATAGTTGATTACAGACAATTTTTGTCAGTGTTGATCTAAGTTTGATGTAAAAATTTGAATCTTAATAATATTAATATAAACAATTTTTCTTTCAAAATAAAGAACGAAAAATGTTTTATTGGCTAGGTGCCGTTTGGGATCCGTGAATGCCCGTACCTTCAATTCTTCAAGTATATATTAGTGATTGAGAATGGTAGATTGAGGTTTTCTAAAAACAGAGAAAAACAAATGATAAAAAAAAGAAAGAAACAGAGAAAAACAGTAACGCCCAACGGATAAAAAATGATGAACCCACAAATTGTCGTCATGGACTCATGGGTGTCAATTTTGTCATTTCCCTCTGCTCAAACGGTCTTTGCACCTCCATTTCACTACGGCTCTCTTTTATTTACGTGAACATATTAACAAACACTCACCGGGCATTCCTGTAATTCCCCTCTTTTCCAAACAACTCTTTCACTTCTTCATTTATTCATCCCTTTCTCTCTCTCTTCTTCCTTCTTCCTTACCCAATCCTCTGCTTAGCTCTCTTCAGACTCCAATCCGAATGCCGCAACCGTGACCAACTCCCTCTGTAATTCGCGCAAGCATTCTCCATCCTCGCCGGTGAAAATGGCGGTCTCCGGCGGCAATCGTGGCTCGACCAGTTTTTTCAGCTCAAAAACTCCAATTCTAGGTCTCCCTCTCTACGTCATCATAGCAGCCACCGTCGCCGTTATGTTCACTATCTTCCTCCTGATCTTCCTGCGTCTCCGCCGGAACCGCTTCCCCGGCAGACGCCGTCGCGCCAAACAGGGTTCTACTTTGCTTCCGTTGGTCAGAAAGGAGGCTGCCGTGACCGGAGTGGGGGAGGGTGCTCAGATTGGTGGTAGGGTCGAGGAGAAGAAAGGTTTCAGAGAGGACGCGGTTGAGTCGCTGGAGATAAAGAGGAGTTCGGAGAGCAACGAGTCACTAACGAGTCGGAGCGAGTCGTCGTCGGCGCTGTCGTGTTCGACTGACGGTTCCAATATCGGGTGGGGCCGCTGGTACAGCTTGAAGGAGCTGGAGATGGCGACCAACGGATTCTCCGCCGACAATGTCATCGGAGAAGGAGGATATGGTGTTGTGTATAGAGGTGTATTGCCGGACGGCTCTGTAGTGGCGGTGAAGAATCTTCTGAACAACAAGTGAGTCCCAATAATATGTCACTCTATGACTCTAATCCAGATCCATAGCTCATTTTTGTTAGGATGAAAAAGATTACAAAAGAAATACTCCGTAAATTAAACCCCTAACCGACACTTTAATTACGTACGTTATGAAGCTGCATTTTACGTGTTTGAATTTTGGATTGGAAACTTGTTTTTTTTTGTTTGTTGTCTTTTCTGGATTTCTGAGATAATTAATATTAGGATTAGGCACCTATGCCGTGCATGTCTGTTTCCCTAAGTCGTCGGATCTAAGATCGCACCGCCAACATTTTCCGGCTGTGCATCTGAATGGGATTACTATATTTGGAATTTTGGGTCCTATATTTTTCCCGGATCCAGATGTCTATTCGATCCATGGTTCAAACAACTTAAGATGGAAAGGTGAAGAGTAATTGTCTATTTAGAATTAATTCCTTGTAGGGGTGATAATAATAATCTTTTTGAACCAACCTTCGTCACTGGATTTTATTGCTTCTCTTTTGACTAATTATTATCACGTCATCTATCAAAATAAAGTTGAGCTTATCTCTCTTTTCCTCTTTATTTATTCCTTTTTTTGTTCTTTTTTATCCCATACATATATGTACTTCACTTTTTTCACAATTGCACGCTCGATCATGTGTTCATTAGTTTCAGAAGTGAAATGCTCAAATGCATGTGGGTGGCATGATTTCTCCTGCAAAAAGAAAGCTGCTGTTGAGAGTTGTATTGGATACTGTTTGTTTACATACACAATCTAATTTTTCTGATGTGGCAATCAATTTAGAGCGATTGATAATGACATGGAAGTATTAAGTCATCATGCATTCGCTAATAATAAAAAACAACTCACTTTAGATTACTGGTAGTGACCAAAATTTTGATACGAAACTGTAATCACCTTTCAATGTGTAATAAAGTCTACTTATTAAATGAAGATATCGGGAGTTGAGTGGTTAATTTGTTGTGCATCATGGTAATATGTCTTTGTTACTGGTATTTTATACGGAATACTTAACAGACTTCTATCCTAATTTGATTAGGCTACATGAATTCCTTAAGCTAAAAACATTGCACTTATTCCCAGAGGAATGGTAGTTGAGTTGAAGTAATGTGCTAACTAACATGTCTTCATGTACACTCAATGTTCCCCTATACACCTACTTTCTGTACTTTCATGACTAATTACATATGTAGTAATAGTGGTTGAGGGTTGATTTATAGTTAAAGTCCGTAATAGATAACCTAATTAATCCTTGGTCCTGTACATTAATTTTTGGCGGTATACGTTAGGGGCCAGGCAGAGAAGGAGTTCAAAGTTGAAGTTGAGGCCATTGGCAAAGTAAGACATAAAAATCTGGTTGGTCTGCTTGGTTACTGTGCAGATGGCACTCAAAGGTGTTTCCTCTTCACTTATTAGCTTCAATATCAGTTCATTTTATTTAAATATAATTATCAAATATTAACACCATTTTGCTCATCAGGTTACTTGTGTACGAGTATGTTGATAATGGAAATTTGGAGCAGTGGTTACATGGCGATGTAGGGCCTGTTAGCCCTCTAACATGGGATCTTCGTATGAAGATTGCAATTGGGATTGCTAGAGGGTAACAAAGAAATCTTCTCTAACATTTAGAAAGATGCATATTTCATGTTACAATAATAACCAGTACTTTATTTGTCAAAATTCCATGAATAGGACCAAAACATAATACATAATAAACTAATTTTATTTTGTTGTTGCACACTTGCACCAAGGGAGTCTTTTAGAATAAGCCAATAAGACAATGATATTCCTATTTGTGCATTAACTGCGTATGACATACTATGTATGTTTTATTCCTATTTTCAGTAATTTATTTATTCAATATGCCACAAGTGATGCTGGTCTTTTCTTTCATAACATTATAAAAACAAAAACTAGAATGTACGTATTTTTGCTACTCTATTACATTGACCGCTTGTTAGCATGTAACTCGAAGTTTTAATACACCAATTGTTGGAGTATTCTCCACATTCTGGTTTACATTTCTTATGCAATTTCATTTTCTGTGCCCTCTTCTTCTTCTTCTTCTTCTTCTTCATTGCTTCTAAACTCCAATACCCTTCGACAGACTTGCCTATTTACATGAAGGTTTGGAACCTAAAGTTGTACATCGAGACGTAAAGTCAAGCAATATTCTCTTGGATAGGAAATGGAATGCTAAAGTATCAGATTTTGGACTTGCCAAGTTGCTAGGAGGAGAGAAAAGTTACGTGACAACCCGTGTTATGGGAACTTTTGGGTATGTACCTTTTCTAATTCCTTTTTCCCTTTTGCTAAAAACTATCTAAAGCTGATTAATACTCTCAATACTAACTGTGTGCATATTTGCGAATTACTGCAGTTATGTTTCCCCTGATTATGCAAGTACCGGAATGCTTAATGAGGGTAGTGATGTCTATAGTTTTGGTGTTCTGCTTATGGAAATTGTTACAGGGAGAAGTCCTGTTGATTATTCCAAACCGCCTGGAAAGGTGATGTTAGTTTTTTTGGATCTTCCTTATTATAAGAAAAATAGAGTCAAGACTTATTAGTATTACAATGGTAACCTTATAAAACCCAGAAAAACATTATGAGTCCATCATAACAAAAATGTGAAATGATAAATAAAAGGATAAATTACGGATGTAAAAATATCATGAAATGTTTATGAATTTGGGACAGATAAAAAAGGAAAGTGCATGCTATAAAATGGGATAGAATGAGTTCAAATTAATGGGAGTACAATTAATAATTAAGGCAACCTATAAATCTGACATCTTTTTTCTTACTAATACTTTCTGAACTCCAGATGAACTTGATTGACTGGTTTAAAGGAATGGTAGCCAACAGACAGGGGGAGGATTTGGTTGATCCACTAATAGAAGCCCGCCCACCTCCAAGAGCCCTAAAACGAGTATTGCTTGTTTGCCTTCGGTGTATAGATATGGATGCCAACAAGCGACCAAAGATGGGGCAAATAGTAAATATGCTTGAGGCTGACGAATTCCCATTCCGTGCTGTAAGCACTACTGCTATCCCTTCTGTCTTTTAGTTGAAACTTCCAACTACTGGTCATCTAATTGCTTTCTTGTCAGTAATTGGTGGCCAACAGAAGCCTACCACAATTATATATGTCAAAAATATTGGAAGATGCAAATACCAAGCTATACCCTTTCAGGTGGTTAAGCACATGGACTCAGTTTAATGGGACCAAGAAATTTAATAATGATGTGTTACTATCATATGTGGTGGAAAGTGACTTTCCTTGACATATGCTGCAACAATTTGGTGAAACTAAAGGAAACACCAAGACACTAACCCACTTTTCAGTTGGTCTCATACTCTCATGCTTCCAACCGAAGATTTACTAATCTTGTGGAATGTGGTTGATAAGGACATATAACTAGTATAAGACCCGACTTATAGTAATATAGTACGCTTCCCCTGTTCCCGTCCAAAAAAGTAATGTTTTTACTTCGTATTAGTATGCTGTTGGGAAAATCTCATAAATAGAACCAAAACAGAACAAGTTCTTCATAAACAAAGGTTTTTGTTTTTTATCTGAAATCTTTACTAATCTACTCAAATAAGAATTACTATCTACTTGTATTCCTTTTAGCACAACATACATTGTTATTTACTTATTTATGCACATGACTAATGCATCTCTTTATCATAAATTTTTGAAATTATATTTTGGTATTAGAAACATTGTGCATTTCTTTTATAGCGAAAGAAACTTCATAGTTTTTAACTTGGATGAAAAACATGGTTTATACACTAATCTCATAGCCAGTATAAAGATCTTTTATATATTCCATGCAGTCCTAAATAAATTTCTCATTTTTCTTTTTGGGTAGGTCCAAAATAAACTTCACACTTTATTTTAGCAAGTTTTTAATACTTCGTATAAAGTTACCCTTATACCCTTACTTTATTCCCTACTTTACACCAACTTTTCTCTCTCTCAATACACTTTATCTACTTTTTATAGGGTATTATGAGAAAGTCAAAAACAAAAAATTCACTTTTTAAAAAAACGTAAAGTCAAACTATGAATTTTATTTAGGATCAGGGGAGTATATTTTTATACCAAATGTTATACACTGATATATACATAATTTTGGATTTTGGGGTGGGCCGGGGCTACGCCCCTAGCCCCCCTACCTTGGTGTACAATATTTGTATGAAATTACGGGTGTATCCTTGCAAAATTGAATACATTACGAAATGATGCTATAGTGGTTATTTGACCGGATGCCCATGGTATCCGTGCAACGTTACTGTCTATATTTATTGTGTAATTAATTTATGCAGGAGCATCGCGCCCCTAGAGAAAGTGCTCCTGCCGGGAATCGAGTGGCTGGCTGAGATGATAAACAAGTTGGCAATAGATATGATAATTTGGGGAGGGGATACGAGTTTTGTAGTGAGTTTGATGATATGTGTATATTCTTTTTGCTCTTTCTAAATTAAAAACACATTAACCTCGCTTTCTTACGGTTATCTAATTAAACAAATATCTGTATCATGATTTGTCATATAGCATCTCATTCCAGTGGTGATGCCTTGCAGATGTAAATCACCCAAATAGTGATTCCTCAATAAGACATCAAACTTACTTCGTAGTTTATTACATTGACGAGGTGAGCAGATAATATCACTATAGTCATCATACATTCATACTGTACTCTTTAAAAAAACAGGGCATATTTAACATTTTTTCCTTAATACTGAAATGCTTGAAAACACAGGGCATATCATTTTTAGATGAAATTAAGTAAAAATCCGACCTGTGTAGGACGAGTAACACCATGTCACCATCGTCATCCTTTTATTTAAGAGAAAATTCTCTGGAGCAAAATAAAGCTGGAGTGCAAAAATGGAGCTCGCCTGTGATAATTTTTTAAAAAAGTGTTTTTTAATGAAATAGGGAAAAGTGATTAAATAAAAGTTGATAGTGTTTAAAAAAGTGATTTTGAAAAGTAAAAGTGGGTAGTGTTTGGTAAAATAAGTGCTTTTTGTGTAATAGAAAAAGTAAAAGAACTTTTGACGCGGAAGCCGAGAAAAATAAAAGTTGTAGTGTTTGAGAAAATAAGTGCTTTTTTAATGCCAAAAGCTGAGAAGTGCTTTTTTAAAAGCAGTTGCAAACCAACCCTAAGTAAAAATCCGACGTGTGTAGGACGCAAGTAACACCAGAGAAAATTCTCTGGACCAAAATAAAGTTGGAGTGCAAAAATGGGGCTCACCTGTGATAATTAAGAATAGTGAAATTGTGTGACGTTTATTTGATTAGATTGACCTGTGACTCAATTATTTGGTTCGGTCGCTTGCCGGTCTAGTTTTCAAAACATAGGAGGTGTTTACTTCACTGCTAAAGTCACAGTTAGGTTAGTAAGACAGGTGAAGTAAACACGCACACTGCTTAAAAAGCCGCTTACTAACCGAAAGAGGTGCTTAAAGTGCCGCTTATTAAGCATACCACCCCCCATGTATTAATTAAGCGGCACTTTAAGCTTTTTCAGTTTCCGAATTTACCCCTTGCCCTTAACCTATTGTTATCCGTGCCCCACCTCGACCCCAACCCCACCCTACCCCCGACCCCACCCCACCCTACCCCACCTACCCCGACCCCACCCTACCCTACCCCACCTACCCTGACCCCACCCTACCCTTACCCCACCTACCCTACCCCACCCCGACCCCACCCCTACCCTACCTAACCGACCCCCACCCTACCCTTACCCCACCTACCCCGACCCCACCCCACCCCTACCCTTACCCCACCTACCCTACCCCTACCCCTACCCTACCCGACCCCACCCTACCACTACCCTACCTACCCAATCCCACCCCTACCCTACTTACCCGACCACACACCTACCCTTACCCTACCTACCCCACCCCTTACCCACATACCCGACCCCACCCTACCCTATCCGACCCTACCCCCCTACCCCACCTCAACCCCCACCCTACCTACCCGAACCCACCCTACCACTACCTGACCTCAATCACCCCACCTACCCCACCCCACCCTATACCCCTTACCCCACTATACCTAGGGTGGTAGGGTCAGGGTGGGGCCGATGTGATAGAGGCGCTAGGGGCAGGGTAGGTGTGGTGGGGTAGGGGTAGGGGCAGGGTTGGGGTAAGGTAGGGTAAGGTGGGGTCGGGGTGGGGTCGATGTGGTAAGGGCCTATGGGGGTAGGGTGGGGACAGGTTAGGGTGGGGTCGGGTAGGTAGGGTGGGGTCAGGTAGGTAGGGTAGGGGTAGGGGGTAGGGGGTAGGGGTAGGCGGTGGGTGGGGTCGGGGTAAGGTAGGGTGGGTAAGGGGTTAGGGGTATGGGTACACATATTATATTATATACTTGTGTTCATGAATGTTTGTGTGTATATATATGTATAGGGTTATTTTGGACATTTTAATGTTAAGCGGTGTTTTAAACCGTTTGAAGTAAACACGGTCTTACAACATTGTTTATTTTATGCGCCGCTTATTAACACGGGTCTTAATAAACACCGTTTAATAACCGGTGAAGTAAACATGTCCATAGTCTTTTACATGCTCTAAACTAGAGTACAAATATGATTTGAGCCACATGTCACTAATATGGGACTAGTGTGGTTACATAAAAAAGATAATGAATGACACACGAGATTGAATAGTTCTACACTTCTACTCATATTCACTTAATTATTAATTGTACAACTTAATTACTTCCTCCGTTCTTTTTTAGTTGCAACTAGGGGTGGACTCGGGCCGGTTCGGGCCTGGGCTCGGCTGGGCCTCGGGCCAAGAAAGTTGGGCCCGAGCCCGAACCGCCGGTGGGCGGTTCCGGTCCCGGTTCCGGGCCAAACCGGGCCGGGCCGGGCCTAACTGGTTCTAATTTTTTTTTTGGCTATTCTATTTAACCCCCAACCCCTCCCCCTCAACCCCAAACCACCTCAAATGGCCCAAAATACCTAATCCAACCCAAAACTTAAAAAAAATTCAAAAAAAAAAAATTAAAAACCGGCCCGAACCGGCCGGGCCGGTTCACCAAAAACTGGGCCCGAGCCCGGACGGCCCAGCAGCCGGGCCGGGCCGAACCGAACCGGTGGACCCACCGGGCCCCGGGCCGGGCCGGGCCAAACAGTAACCGGGCCGGGCCGCCCGGCCCGAGTCCACCCCTAGTTGCAACGGTCAACATTTCACACTTGCCAACGCACGTCTTTCACCCTAATTATATCTTAATATCTATTAGTAAAAAATATTTAAAAAATAGATTTTGCAAATTTGTAATGAGATGAATTGAACAATGTTTTTTTAAAAAAATATTTTTCATAAAATAATAATATAAAATGTAGTCAAAGTAGAACATGTGAATAGTATAAAATTCAACATGTTGCGAATAAAAAGAGACGGATGATAGTAAATTTTAATAAATAAAACTATTTGAAAGTCGAATTTACCCTTTATACTTAGAACCATATCAAGGACATTGAATATAGCTTAGATTATAGATCTTATCTTTTGTTCTTATAAACAAACCCTAGAACATGGAATAATGACATAAATACTACTACTACATTGAGTGTTTCGTGTACCACCATGAATTGAAGGGTATACAAATACACCATGACTAAGGTATTCATAGACTTGACAATGATATCAAGACTAGATTAAAATCCTTCCCATATTGGCTTGTACATTGATACAATATTTAAAAAATTACATTATTTTAGAATGTTTATAATTGGACTCATTTTTTAAACATGGTCTAGTATGTAAAGTATGTTACGCTTCAGCCATATCTTAATGACTTATGGTTCTACACCAGTTCTATAAGGAGAGAAAACGTGTTGCACTATCTGTGATTGCTTTTTTAGTGTAGCGATAAACGTTTTGATCCTACCAGTGGTATCAAACAATCAAAGCCTAGTTCACATGTTCTTATGTTATGCAAGCCTGCGAATAAAAAAGGGCAAGTCATGTTGTTCAACCTCGTGTTTGGAGTGGCAGATGATGAGGGAATTGTTAGGTTTTGGCCATCATATTCCTAAATCAACTTGTGGTGCTACGTTCTATAAGGGGTAATGACGTGCTACACTATCAGCAAATTAGCAATTGCTTTTAGTGTAGCAGCCTAGCAGGCATTTCAATCCTACAGTAAACATGTGATTTATATGTATTTTTTATTGTCCAAAACTGACATGATCAAATACAGTGGCGGATCCAGGATTTCACGCGGACTGAAAAACTTAATTTATTAATTCATAACATATGAACCAGATCTTTTGCTCTTAGTCAACTCCTCACATATTGTAATACCAATAAAAAAAAACTTAGTGATTATATAATTTTGTGATATTTTATTTAAGATATATTTTATAAAAAGAGAATTCAATTAGCAAATCACAATCTATATTACAAATAATAATTAACGTGAAGTGGTAGGCTATTTTAAATAATCAATTAATTAAAATTTTAAATATATTAAATGAATCTAGAGAAGAAAACACTTGGCAGCAGGCTAATTTACATGGAGGGACACGTAGCAACCAAATACTATCAAAACCTAAACAAACAAACAAAAAGGAAACCAAATGATTAAAGCATTCTGAATTGCCACTTAATGTGACTAATAGAAGAGTAGAGCCTAAGACGTTTGGCAAAACTCATGCATTAGGAGACAACCAAGGCTGTGCGCATAAGATAAGAAAACAGCTGTTCTGGTCTCTTGAGTTTCGATATATACACATATATAAAAGAGAACTTTGTATGTAGTGGGGTGCTCAAAAGTCTAAATAATACTTAGTATACCCGGTTATACATGGAGAATCTGAGGAACCATGAAGCGATGTTAATTCTGGGAGGGGAGCTTGATGTATCTGGGTCTAGATCAATGTAAGCTGCTCTATTAAGGTCAGTACTACAATTTGACTTTTTATTTAAGAACCATTTTAGTTAATCAAAGATAAATGTTTTTAGTTAATATTAACTCTTAAATTCGTAGATGAAAATATAAATGAATACAAATTCGTAGTAATAAAAGTGTATGTATGTTTTCGGAAATAAGAATATTTTAGGCCGCTGCCGGACGACCGGAATTTCAATATACATATACATACGAACATATTACTCAAGGAGGAGATTATATTCTTAGTATTATTAGACATGTATGTATAGAAAAATATTCCTTAGTTTGTATGGTAGTAACAAGTTAGACCAAGCGTAATGAAAATTTGGTCCGGTAACCCGTCAAGTAAAACTACATACATACAAGGATATATTGTGTGCCTGTATTTATAGATACGATTAGATATACATAGCTGAATATACAAACCCACTTCCACATGTCATGGTTACATATGGATACATTTGCATCTAATTTTTGCTACTTATATTATTTTACATATTTATTTTACATATATATAATATTAACTATAAATACTTCGTATGTACAAAATCTTGAGTTGAAGTGAGCACTTATATTGCATGGTCCGGATATGAACACCTACATATGGGCATACATGCATACTAACATAATCCGTATGTACGTATGTATTATTATTGTTATTATTATTATTAATATTATTATCAAATTTGATTATTATTAGTATTATTATTATTATTATTACTATAAGTACTATTTACGTAAGTTTGGATGTAACGTATTGGTTATGTTTAAGATCCAGAATATCG